ACTCACAGTCCTCCTGCCTCAGCCTTTCAAGTGCTGTGGTTCAATAGTATTACCTATGGCAGATGCTAAAGCAAGGGGTAAGCTTGCTTTGGATGATCTGGGCAGTCAGGACAATGAAGAGTTGTAGCGTCTTGTCCTTGTCTTTTTAGCCCTGGAAGGTGTTTCCTGGGGTTGTAACATGGGCTTCAGGGCTGCCAGTGACTTTCATTTGCAGCTTGAACACACCCTTCACTGTCACTGTGGATGCCATTACTGTTATAGCACAGAAGTGACTTCAAAAGTTGATGACGTCATGTCTCCTGTTGCTCTTGCTTGCTGTTCTTAGTCTTCCACGGGAATTCTTTTCAGAGCTCACCTCTGAACTCTGCTCCCTTCCTGAGGGCAGCCTTATTTTACAGCATACGTTTTGTTGAGAAATTCAGGAGCCAGATTTTAAACCTAAATATGAGTCTGTGTTGAGTCTCATTTAGGCACAGCCGTCTTCTTTCTTTAAGCTTTAGTTTTCTATCGGGGTACCTCCAAATAAGATGCTATTTCCTGGGGGCATTATCACACTCCTCAGCTACGAGGAGAAAGTTCGTATCTTCACCTGGATGTGGCCTTGGGTAAGGCTGTGGCCAGCAGTGAGGCAGCTTTGAGCGCGTCAGCTCCACCACCCGTTTGTTATGGCCTTGAAATTCACTCCACACCCCGTCTCCACCTCCCTGGGCCTGGGATTGCAGGAATGCATCACCACGCCAGGCCACCCAGCCTTGTAAAGAGAAAACTTGAAGCAGTTGTCATGGATAATGTTATGTTGTCCTGTTTTCATCAGAGAGGCTTTCTGGTTTCCAATCTCCTTGTCTCCTTTTGGGGCAGATGGAATGTGGGATGATTCAGCTCTTAATGCCGAAACCCTTCGGGTCTTGTCCAAGCGCGTTGTCTTCGTCTGTCCACAGTGACTCTCGGAGGCTTTGGGTCCTTAGTGAGCCTCACTCTGACCCCTGTGGCTTCCTTCCAGCGCCTTAACAACACAGCTACTCTACACATACCTCACCTGCACATTTCTAGCCCCCACAACACTCCAATGCCAGAACACCCCGTAATGCTTCCACTCATCTTGACAAGTATCTATGGGTTAATTGGACTGAGGGGTAAATGGGAACATTTTCTTAGAGCAATCAGAACAGGTTGGGCAAAGGGTGAACATGACCTCCTACCCTGGCAACCACACTCATTCACATCCACCTCTTCGAGCTACAGCATCTCACAGAGGAGCTGGTTTACCATCTGAAAGCCACAGGACCAGAGCTGAAGGAGATTAACATCTGCACATTCTTGTCTTTATGCAAAACATTATGAAGCTTCTGAATCCTGCTATTTGACCTGTACAGTCGAGAAACCTGTTTTTTCCTCCCCTCTCCATGCTGTTAAATTCTTAAATTTTCTTTAGACCACACAGGCAGCCCTCAGCTGCCATGAAGGTTGCAGTCCAACAAATGATTTCATTCTCGCTAATGTACTACTGACTTAGGGAATATTTAACCTTGACAGTGTGCCTTAATTATTGTGCAACTTCATTAAAGCACTGGTGAAATCTCTGTAGATGGCTGAATATGCCAGAGAACAAATGCATTTGGATAGGATCAAAAATTAGATTTGTCTCCCATCCATCCACCCACCCACCCATCCATTCAGAGGTATATTAAAAGTTGATCTTTTAAAAAATAATAGTTAGGGAGCTTTGAAGGAGAGGTGTGAACATAGAGGTGGTTGACAAGGTTCTGTGTTCTTTCAATGTATTTTAATTTTGATCTAAGAAACCCAGTCCTTTATTATGACATGGAATTTCAGTTCAAACATTTCCTTTGTTTTCTTTGCCATGGAAGAACTCATATCGGTTCACTTATATCTACCCAGCTGTGTATCCTTTGTTCAGTGGTTAGTAATACTGGAATATTAAGGAGAGACAGAGACTGATAGACAGACAGACACACAGTCAGGCACACACACACACACACACACACACACACACACACACACACAGAGCGAGAGAGCGAGTGAGAGCACAGCTTCTGAAGATAACTTTTCACAAGGCAGTGAGGACAGAGGATTTGTTTAATTTCTTCTAGTGTGCCTGAAAAGACTTCCTGTGAGATGAGGGTTCGTAGAGAAAGTGAAGAGTGGAGGGAGGGGAAGGGTAGGCTTGAGCCTGACTCTTTGGAGGAGGTCACACTCTGAGGAGGGGTAGGAAAGCTTGCACAGGTGCCCAGTTCCTATGCCATGCATGTGATTGACACAATGTGTCATGGTTATGGAGCCCACAGAACCAGGGGACTCAACAGTGGGATTGGCTGTACTTTCTGGAATGAAACACAGGAGACCCATTTTAACTACGCTTAGACAGGCTTCCCCACACATTTTCTAGTGTTTTCTTTAGGCATGTTTTTCCGCACTTTCTTCAGCCTGCCTGTCCTCCAACCCTGTGTTGGTGTGTGCTGACAGGGATTCATACATGTGGTAGCCTTGAAGGCCGACTGGCTGGAGAAAACATGTTCTTGTAGGCTATTCTCTTTTTTTCTCTCTCACTCTTTCCTTCTCTCTCCAAAGTCCCAAACTATAACACAGAATGGCCTGGAACTCATGGCAATCCTCCTGCCTCAGTGTCCTGAGTACTGGGATAGGTGTACTTGGATCATTTTCTTCTGCTCTGATGTGTTTTTTGGCATGGATGATGTGGAGGAGAGGGATTTAGCAACATTTGTGTTCTTTTGGAGAGGGCGAACCTGGTTTTTAGTTTGAATATACACTAGATCCCTTCTATAGCCCACTGTGGCCAAAGGTTACAGGTTTCAGAATTTTTCTTCATTCCCTGTAGCTAGAATTCAGATATAACATGAAGCCTTCTTGGATGTGCAGACAACACAACACTTCAGGCCTGGTAGTCCTGACAGAGCTGTTTCTTGGACAGCTTCATGGGATAGGACTAACTGATCAGCCTTGGCTGTCTACTCAAGGCTTGTCATAGGAGAAAATGAATTTAGACTCACCTGAGGCATGATAAATTTGTTCTTAATTATAGGAGCTACCTGATTAATGTAACAGCATATGAGGAAGACAAGAACTTGCTCACTAGGGCCAGGAAAAGTGCTGAGTTATGGGTGTAAGCATAGGCACCATCTCAGAGCGGGATAAGGAGCTAGCCAAGCTTGAATAAGACAGAGTACAAATCCTCTGTGAAGGTCAGTACCCAGAATTGCCTCAGGAAAACAAACCAGCCAAAAACAAAACAAAAAAAAATTCAAAGGTATTGGAAATGATTACAGCTTAATTATTAAGCATCATTGGTACACACTCCTTCCAAGCACACTTAGATCATATCCTATGGAAGTTAAATTCTCTAGGCAACAGTGAAACAGCTTTCGCTTGGACTGCATGTCTTGGTTCGTCAACAGAGCCAGGAATCATTAAAGCTACCCACAGAATGGCCGTACAGGTTTTGGCCAGTTGGGATCCGCTGGGGATGTGCCAGGGCCCTCCCACTCAGTATGCGCCTGGAAGCCCTCCTTTGCTTTCAGCTCAGCATAGCCAAGGGTGAGGAGGGGCTGGAGCCTGAGCTGGCTGGAGGCACAGGGCTGCATATCAATCACTCTGCTGTCCCTTTATCCAGTCACCACTCAGGAGTGCTCTGCCACACTGATGGCCTTATTCATTTCAAGGAGAACTGACATTTGCGAACTATTTAATCTGTGGTCTCCTAGGCTGTTTTTCTCATGTAAGAACTACTTTTATAAGACTGTGTTCTAACCTTCCAACCACATCTTTGCTAATCAGCGGACATGCCTAGGACTTGTGTCCTGAGTCCAGGAGGAGTCCTCAACTCTGGAGCCTCTCGGCGATGTCTTTGGATGACTCCACCATGCAGAACCCCATGCTGCAGGGTGTCAGCCATGAAAGCATTTCTTTGCACACAATTTTATTTTTTTTTGGCAAGGTCTTCCTACATAGCCCATACTGGCCTATAACTTATTATATAGACCAGGCTGATGTTGAGCTCACAGAGACCTGCCTGCCTCTGCCTTACAAGTGGTGGAAGTAAAGGCATTGTCACCAAGCTCAGCCTAAATTTTGCATTTGATGCTACAAATTAATATTTAGAAGACTCCCCAGCATAGACTGACGTCCCTGCTCCTCCTCCACAGTCCTGGGACTCACACCAGGGCTGGTGTTCGCTAGGCGGTCACTCTGGTGCTGTGCCACACACACCCGAGAGGGTCGAGGGATTGACCCTCTCACACAGATCGAAGCATCTCAGATCCCCTGCATATCAGATATTTACATTGCAATCCACACCAGTAGCAAAATGACAGCTATGAAGTAGCAATGGGACAGTTTTATGTTTGGGGGTCGCCACAACACGAGGGGCCGCTTTCAAGGTGGTGGCACGGGAAGGTGGGGAGCCACTGTCCCCAAGCAGTTTTCTCCATTGCACTGTTCAGCTCATTTTTCCCAGTCAGCCATCCTACCGTCTGTCCTTAAGACATTTTATTCTCACTGCTTTTGTATACACTGACCTTGCCACCCTGGGGCTCTTGGTTTTGACAGAAGCAAAGCCTTTTCTGTCTGTTATGACCAGCTCTTTCTGTGAACAGAGCAAAGTGGCCATGCCCCAGCTGCCTTCCTATTCCTCACCTCTCCCGGCCTCACACACTGGGTTTCCCATGGGCTTCCTGGGATGCTGCTTTTATCTGTTCCCCAGGGACTTTGTAGTCCTACTGTGACCAGTACTGACTCTTCTCAGTGTCTCTCCTTCAACATGTGTGTCCCTCATGAGTTTACCCCCAAGTCCCCCGTGAAAGAACCTGCCTGTGAGTTACTGGCCTTTGCACAATGTCACTGTGGCCATTTCAAGTTCATGCAGTGCGACTTTGCTGTGTGGAAGCTGACATAAACTTGTGCCCCCCACAGAAGCAGCATAACCGCAGCATTATTATGTCCTGTGCCAGCGCCGGCTCACTCACCAGCCATGGAGGAGACCACGGCGATGCTGCCATTGCTCTGCTTCAGCATGGGCAAGGCGGCGATGCTCAGGACCACGTAGCTGAGGAAGTTGACCTCCATGACTTTCCTCACATTGTGGACATTCCCATGAAAGAGAGACATGTGGCTGCTGGTAATGTGGTTGATAATGAGCATGTCCAGTCCACCTGCAAAGAAAGGCCTGTGCTGAGGGGGGCCACTGGGAGCTGGTGCTGCCCATTCCCTCCTGAGAGAGCTCTAAACCCAGAGCCGGAAATCGGATCGGGGCTTACCCATGAGCTTTCCTGCTTTGACAACAAATTGCTCTGCAAATGCCATGTCTTCCATGGTGCCAGCAATGTAGTGAGCAGAGGCTGCTCCAAGTTCAAGGCATCGAGACACCACCTGCAGAGACACAGTGGAAATGGTGGCCATCTTGGCTGTAGGTTTTCCGTAGTGTTTGGAGTGACTGGGGCTTAAATGAGAGTTTGTTCACAGAGCTGTTCAGACAAGAAACAGTGTGTGTGTGTGTGGGGGGGGGCTTAAATAGTCTTAACTTGTGCCAGCTGGTGGTGGTGGCACAGGCCTTTAATCCCAGCACTCACCAGGCAGAGGCAGGCAGAGCTCTGAGTCCTAGGCTAGCCTGGTCTACAGAGTGAGTTCCAGGACAGCGAAGGTTACACAGAGCTGTTTCTTGGACAGCTTCATGGGATAGGACTAACCTATCCATGTTTCAAAAAACCAAGGAAAAAAATACTCTCGGATGATCATTGTCCTCTGATATATCTTAAATGGATAAATCATCACTGGGTTGGAGTTTAAATCCATGACTCATCTCTGCAGGCTTTATGAGCAGAAGTTTCCAAATGCATTACAGGTGTGGGTACAGGTTTCTGTGGGGTAGATCTGGGCTTGTGAGTGTTGGTGTGACCTAGGGCTTTCAAATTTTGTGAGTCTGTGGGGCATGGCAACATAAATGCATGAGCAGGTACAGGAATCCCAGTCCCCGAGTGCGTGCATGTGAACAAGCCCATGGCTAGTGTGTGTGAACAGGCACAACTATGAACATGTAAAACCAAAGTACTCTATGCCTAACAACATGGGAGTATGGTGTGTGTGTGTGTGTGTGTGTGTGTGTGTAAAAGCAACACTTTTTCATCCCTGTGGGTATTTGTACCTCTTTATGAAGTGTAGGCCGGGGGAACTATCAGCTGGGCACAGGAAGGCCACTTCTCTGTGGCTCCAGCACGCTCACCTTCTGCAGACCTTCCTCCGACCTTGCAGTCACCACCACGTGGGCGCCCATTTTTGAGAGGTGATATGCCATTTCTCTTCCAATCCCTTTGCTGGCCCCCGTGACGATCACTTTCTTGCCTTGGAGCATTTCTGGGGAACCACAGAGTCTGTGAGTGCCCCGAAGCCTTGGTTCACTTTCCACACTTAAAGGTTGTGAGCCCAGATCCCTCTGCCTCATGCTGCAAGCCACTGAAGCAACACTAGCAGTTATTCACAGACAGGCTCTCAAGCATGGGGTTGGCGTGGATGTGTAGAGCTGAGCCTTCTTGCCGTTATTCCTAAAAACCTCCATGTGTAGCGATCATGAAGACAAGGCCAGAGAGGTCAGAATTTGGCTAAACTGCCCAGGCTTGATTCCTGGCATTATCTAATTTTGCTAAACTGAAAGGAGATTTTTAAAAGTGCCGTAACGTGTTCAGAGATGTCAGCCTCTCTGCTTCGTCATCATCTTTGTGACCCTTTTACTGCTGTATTCCACCTTCCCAGCCACTAGTCTTTCCACTGGAGCACAGGGAGCTGGCTGAGTAAGCGTCTGACCTTCTCTTCTGTCTTCTGAAATTGCCTTCTCTGCTGGATGTAAAGCAAAGGATGGCCTATTTGGCCATACAGCTCACCCTCCCAGCCCTCCTCCTGCCTGGCTGGAGGCTACAGGGTTACAGATCCACTTTAGGGTCCCCTCTTCCTCAGTGCCTTGGGGATCAAGAATGCAGCTAGATACTTAGGAACATTCCAGAATCCCTGGGTTTTAAGCCTGTTCCTCCAAAGGAGATCCATTGGTACTCACCCGGCCTGAACTCTTCATCTGTAGAATAGTAGTAGCCCAAGAAGAGCACCAGAAGGGGGAGGAGGTATATTTTCATAAATGCCATCAAACAGGGACCTGGCTCAGTGAGCCTGTGGGACACTAGGGAAAACCTGCAGAGCTCTCTCCAACCTCCCAGGCAGGCAGCAGCCTCTGAATTGTGACATCAGGGACGGGGGAGGCTGGAGAAGTCTCAGGCAACACTAGCCAGTTTCCCTGTCAGAGCAGCGATTGGCTTTGGGTAGGATCCCATTCGTTCCTGGCAGCCTGCATGGTGGATTTCATAATGGACAATGTTTAACTCCATTCCGTTGTGTATGAGGCGACTTCCAGATGGCCAGGCTCATGACTGCAGGGTGAGGTGATTGAGCATCTCCTTCTGTGACATCCTTTGACACACAGCATCAATGGCCTTGAAAGAGTGGCTTGTCAGGGAGAGAGAGAGAGAAAGAGAGAGAGAGAATACACCTAAGAGCTCCGGAGAATGTGAGGCTTTTGGGGAAATGTGAGTAATACCAAATAGAGCCAAACTCAAGCCAAATCTCACCCTCAGCACCACCCCCCAGTCGGAAGCAATTAAAAATTACAGCACAAACAGCAAAATAAGCTCAAGAAAAAATGTGCATGTCTTAGGAGGAAAAAAGAAAAGAAAAGTAAAGCAAGCAAGCCACATAAGCCCCACACTCCAGTTCAATGAAAAAGCATTACAACATCAAAGAGAAGCTGCAAACCAGCCAGACCCAGATGGCGGGAAATCCAGGCTCAGTTCAAGGCTCTCAGGCAAGCACAGTGGAACGCACCCTTATTACTTTAACAGAGAAAAGAGAAGAGACAGTGGCTGCCAAAACAGGAAGAAAGGCAGCAGGTTGTTAAACTGGGTTATGTAAATGCTGTGGAGGAGCAAGGAGCATGGGGATGCCGGGAAAAGGTCAGACCTGAAGAAGATCTAGAGAGCCGGACCGCTCTCTCATGAGCTGCCATGCCAACCTTTTTTTACCTCTGCTCTGAGACTGGGTCTCAGCAAGTTGTCAGGCTGACCTTGAACTTGCACTGTAGCCTCAGACTTGCGATCCCCCTGCCTCAGCCTTCCAAACAGCAGGGATTTCAGGACTATTGCCATAAGGTCCTAAGGGACCCAGCCTGCTTAGAGCAAAACTAGCATAGAACATCCAGACAACAATGATCCAATAGAAGGAAAGAGACACCCCAGGAATTAAGAATTTATTATGATAAGACAGAAATAACCATATTTATATATAGCAAGGTTTTATTAAAGAATAGTCCTCAAAGAATTTAAAACTCATCATTGTTAAGTTTTTAACTTAAAACCAATCATCAAAATTGTAAAAACCACCCCAAGATGAGGCAAATCCTGGACTCTAAAAGCTACAAGGAGCTGTGGAAAAGCTGGAGTGTCAAGAGTGACTATCTGTCCTCTGAGGAGAAATGGAGGTTACAGATGGGAAAGCCCAGAAATATTCAGCATTCTGAGAAACCTAATTATGACCCTAAAACAGTATCTGGAAATATCCAGCGATTTTTCACTTCAGAGCAAGGGAAAATAATTTAAGGCCCAGAGGAGATGAAACAATAAGGCCACAGCTGTGAGGGTTGCTTCCAGAAGACAGTAATGGTTTGAGAACAGTGGAGGTTGGAGCCGAGGGCAAGAAGACAGAACTAGAAAGGCTGAGACGTCAGTGGGAGCTGCCTCCATGCTATCAGCAAGGCCAGGCCTGAGAGAGCTTTCAGACACATGACAGACAGAGATATGTTTTCTCCCCTTGGGGGAGCAAATGAGACTTCCTTCCTAACCTCAAAGCAGTAGCAGAAAATCATGACTTGGATTCAGAGAATTAGAAAATATGTTTTAAAAATGTGCTTAATCGTGAAATTATAGGGGACAAGAAAGAGTTGTTTTAAAATATGATGCTGATACAGAAGAAAGATAGGGTGAAGAAATCAGAAAAACAAGAAAGAAGAGAAAAAAGAATGATAAAGAGAAAGGGAGAGGGGAAAAAGAGAAAGAGAGAGGGAGGGCCAGAGAGAGGGCTGTAGTTTCACACGGAAAACAGAAACTTAAAGCACAGATGGCTGTGACTGTGGCAGGCTGGATGGCAGGCTGGGGGCTGCAGATGTCAAAATTTGCAGCAGGGGTTGCTGGCCAGTGGCTCAAGTCAGTGAGAGGCCACACTGTCTCTCAGGAGACACGTTAACTCTGGAACCACCGTCAGCTCATCAGAGACCCTTGTAGCTATCATGCTGTCAGCACAGCAAAAAGCCAGTGTCCCGAGTCTCAGGACTTAGAATGAAGAACCGTCACGTAAAATGCACTAAATGGAAAGGGTGTGTAACAGTGGGGATGCGTCAGCCTTTAGCAGGCCTCAAACACTTGAGTCTCAGACTTACACCTTTGAAGCTCATCAGAGAAGCTTGTTGTTGTCTGGTATTTTAAGACAAGGTCTTGCTATGCAACCCAGGCTGACGTGAATTTGTAAGTCTTCCGCTTCAGCCTCCTAAGTGCTGGGGTTACGGTTGTATGCCTCCCACCCAGGGCCAGAAAACGTGTGTGTGTGTGTGTGTGTATGTGTGTGTGTGTGTGTGTACCTGGGAATGCAGGTGTGTGTGTGGAGGCTGGAGGTCCTTTCTCAAGAGCTGTCCACTTTGCTTTGTGAGACAGGGTCTTGCTCTAAACCTGGAGATTACCAGTTTGGCCAGGCTCTCTCAGCAGAGAGTCCCAGCAATCCTCCTGCCTCTGCTCCCCCAGCTCTGGGATTACAAGCACAGGCCGCACACCGAGATTTCTGGGAATCAAACTTGGGTTCCCATCACACATGCAGACACTTTCCCTACTGAGCTACCTCACCAGTCCCCAGTGTCAAAGAACTTTCACATGTGTTTTCCCAGTTGATGTTGATGCAGAGGTTTAGTCAGTGTTGCTTAAATTAAAAAGTAACAGGGCTCGCTTCCACACACAGGGCATAGGGTTACACAGCTTGCAGCCTCCGGAAAAGTGAAATGTCTCAGCCGTGTAGCAGGCCCCAGACCCTAGCACAACTGACTCCATGATGAAAGTACCATTCAAGCTGTAAAACTCCTCATGTAGACAGCACCACCTGCAAAAATGAAAACAAAGACCTAATTTATCTAAGTCCGTAGTTCTGGAAAGTCTCCAAATGTCCTAACCTTGCTTTGGGGCTTCTGTAGTTTTGCTTCTGGCTGACTGTGCTTGTTAACAAAAATACGTCTACCCAGGATATGGTTTTTGTGTTTAAAAGCTCACCCTGAGAAGGGCTCAGTCTACAATGGGGTCCCGAATACCCAGTGTAGCTGGCTAATACAGACTTTCTATTGGCTCAGACCCGTGTCGGAGCAGTCTTCTCTGGTGAATACCCCACTTTTCTGGAGGTCCCACGTAGATTCCCCAGAGACCAGACCTTGAGACACCAGGGGTCTCAGAGTCCCCCCAGAGCAAGCAAGCTCCCCTCCTCGGGGCTGCACAAGCTGAGGTGTTCCAGGTCCCAGACTAGGACCAGCTGCTGCCTACTGCTTCAGAGCGCTCTGGCCCCTCCACCCCAACAGGAACAAAGCAGCCAGCCTCCTGGTCACCTGAAGAGTCTGGTTAGGACGCCTGCTGCTGGACACACAGGCATGTCTGGGCTTGGCTGCTAAGCAAATGTCCGGGACCCTCTGTCTGCTCAGGCGTGAGAGGGTGTGGGGCCACCCTGTGTGTCTGTCTCCGGTTTCTGCCAGCTTTGTTTCCCTGTATTGACCAGTGGTTTTCTCTGGTGGAGACCCACTCTGGCTTAAAGCTTGCCCTTCTGAGATCCTAATCCTTTGGGCCCTGCCAGGTTGCCCTGAGAAATTTCCCCTCAAAACTTCCAACTGTCTCCTCCTCCTGCCCCCAGCATTTGCTCTTTTCTTGCTTTACTGCTCATGGTCTGCATTGGTCCCTGTGCAGAGTCAGGGAGGGGCAGGTCTCCTCATCCAGGGCCCCTGCTGTCTAAGCAGAATTCACATAGGGAGGGGGAAATAGTTCTCTCCAATCCCACTGCTCTAAGCAGCCTCAGAGATGGGGGGGCGGGGAGGGAGTGCTGCTCTTTCCTCTTTTATGATTTATGTTGTGTTCAAGCCAACGATCCATGTAATTGGAAAACTCGAAACCCACCAATGACACATGGACGATTGCTATCTATGTTAGTACCATTGTGTGAGTGATAGAGAAAGAGGGCTCCTCACTGCGGGGGGAAGAACATAAAAACAAAGAGCGAATTCTGGCCCTTTCTGAGGCCATCTTCTTGGTTTCCCGAAGAACTGCTGTCCTCCACTGCTGTTATCCCACTAACTGACAAAACTCACTGTGACTGGGGCAGCCCACATTAAAGTTAGAGGATTTACACGGGGCTTAAGCTCGCCTAATACCCTCTCGCTGGTCTAGCCTCTTTCTTTTATGTAGTCTAGGACCGAAGCCCGGAGGATGACCCACAGAAGTCACAGAGCATCTGTGAGGGGGACTGTGAAGTCACTAAAGCAGGAATTCTGAGCTGAAGAGTGAAGGCGTGTGAGGAAGTACGATACTATGTGAGTTTGTGTGTATTTGTGTATGCATGTATGTGTGTGACTGGATGACTGTTTGGGTATTGTTTATATAGAAGCGTGTTTTTGTTTGTGGGTATGTGTTTGTGTGTGTGTATACATGAGCATGTGCTTGTGTGTGTATTGTATATGCTGTGTGTGAGCATGTGTTTGTCTTTGTGTTGTATATGTATGTGTATGTGTACGTATGTATATATGTGTATGCTATATGTAAGCATGTGCTTGTGCTGTGTATATGTGTATTGTATATGTGTGTATGCATGTGTATTGTGTTTGTGTGTATATGTGTGTTGTGTGTGTATAGGTTATATTGTGTGTGTTGGTTATATGTATGTATTATGTATGTGTGTGTATGTGTGTATTGTATATGTGT